GATCGTCATACCATCTACCGGTATAACACATTTGTTGCAGTATTACACACGACAGCACGGAAGATGTCCAGCCGTTTAGAGCACATACTTCGCGCATTGCCTAAACAGAGGTGGTGAGAACCGATTGTCGTTAAACTCCATACTTGTATAATCCGCATACATTGATCTAGAACACTCTTCTTGTCAGTCCGGTAATCACAAGTGATGTTGGTTTGTGAAAATTGAGCCTAAAACGAGCGATGATTGGAAAGTTATAGGATGCATACCTGGAACAAGAGGTGAGCTTTAGTATTGGAAGAATCTAGGACGTTGGTAGGGAACCGAATTCTCAACTTTTTCTGAAGTTGCCTAAACAACAACGCTGAAGGCAAAAAAGATCTTGGGAAGAGCTTACGCATTCTCCAGTTCTTCATTGTGTCGTACAGGTATCTCAGAATACTCAGGGCAGTGAGAGAGAATCATTAAAGCTTCTTCAATCGAAGTGCTCTCGGTTAACTCATTCAACAGGTATCGAATAGTTTCATGCTTCAAATAGTATATCGATGCCAATCTTCCGAATGGTGATGCCATAATGCTGTTCTCTTCCTGAAACTTCAACAGGTTGAACAGCGAAACAGTGAGTGAAGCTGACCTCATCGATAATGATACATTTCGATTCTACCAAGTCAGCCATGACCTGATCTACAACGTTCGTTAAAAATGTTATCAAAGCCTCTTCACTTGGATTTTCGAGACCGTAGAAACTGAACATCTATTAGACTTGAAGAAGTGACTTCACCTACTTCGGGTTAGCAAACAGTCTTCTGTAGAAGTAAGTGCCTGAGATATACTCCATAATTCCTTGTTTAGTAGAGATTGTTCCCGAATTGATTTCAGCATTGACATGATTAGCCAGTACAGGTAGCATACTGAATGATACTTGAAGAAACGAAACTGCGATCAACGCACACCTCGATTCCACGGGGAAAGGCTCGTACAGGAACTTCTTATAGAACTGCTTCTTGTTATCCTGGACGTAAATAACAGCAACAGCAGAGTTATCATACTGAGGTCTTCCAGCTCTGCCCATCATTTGCAAAACATCTTCAAAGATACTCATAGTTTGAAAAGAAGTTATCGCATACCGGTTACAGGATAATCAACGTATTTACACAATTTTCCATCGAAATACTCTGTTCCCTTGACGATTACAAGATGAGCTGGCATGTTGATACCCCACGCTAGCGTAGAAGTAGCAACGAGAACTTGGATTTTCTTGTCCGTGAAAAGCTAAGGAGATATCGTAAGTCGAGAAAATCCCTCCTCCTTTACCTGTTCAACAACGCCACGTTCGGAAGTTGACAAACCCGCATGATGCATTCCAATACCAAATTGCAGAGTGAGCTTCAGGTTCTCATCTTTGATTGTCATCAAATGCATTTCCAGCTTAAACAGGGTTAAATCAAAAGCGTACTCTTATCCCCAAACCTCGTCTTCTTCCATGTGAAGCCATTGCTTAGGGTTACCCTGCGAGACCAAGTGAGAAATGAAAGACATAGCTGTCAATCGGGTCT